AAACGCTGGCGGAAGCACAATAGGCGCCGCCACAGGGTGAGTTATTTTGTTATCGCTACTTAAATTATTTTCAGTAGGCCTTTAAGCGATCTAAAAAGAAACAATATTATCTCATGTCGGCGACATGCTCGCAGGTAATGCTCGTCAGTAGCCTAGTCGGTTGCTGTGTCAACGGCAAATACTAAAATATTTTGCTCGGAGTGAATCCACTGGATCCATATACAGGGAAGTTTGGTAAACAGCAACATAATTAGCAGCACTTGAAGCAGATGCTAGAAACGGGGGTTAGATTTAGAAATACAGTTTTGGTTTGGGGTAGGAAGGTAGATTTAGACATTTGATTTTATAATATCGTTTTCATCATCCCCCAAAGAAGAGAAAGAAGAAGGTACGTGGACATGGACCGAAGTATATTGAGACGGTGTTTTGGACACTTGCTCGGTTCCATCGTCAGGGTAATCAGGTAGTTGCTCCTGTTGGCCACGACTGTTTCACTTTTGTCGTATACCTGGCATCATATCCGTGCTTGACTTACGAACTTTGACCCACATTTTTGCTGCTGCTTGACCGTGCGATTGACCGCTGGTGGGCTCGGGTGACCTTTGTCCCCTTTGTCACTGTCTTAATGTTTGTCAAGTGAGCATACTTACTGGCCAGCCCCTCGTCGGCCGACAGACTATTCACTTGTTGCTGCCTGCATGAGCTGATGTCATTGTCGTGGGCGTGGCGGTAAGGTAGTGTCCCACGCCGGTCCCATGGTTCCTGGCCAGCTTCTCTCCCATTTTCTTCTGACCTCAGTTGTAGTCCACGTGCGGGTTTGCTATTCCGTCCTATTGGCCTTGATCGAACAAACTTGAGCCGTGTGCGTAGCGCCTGGTAGGCGGGGTGAAGGCATATGGCTCCGTTAAGTGTGCCTTTCAAAGACCAACTTTCCAGTAGCCATCTGGCCATCTCGTAATTTGCTCGGCATACTACACTGCCTTTGTGGTTTTCCTGCTGTACATGGACATAGTCCATAGACAGCTATTCTTTGCGACTGATTGCGAGCTGATGCTCATGCAACCTTGTACCAAGGCGTTTGCCCGTTTCACCAAAATACCTTGCACCGCAGTTTTGGCATGGTATGTCGTAGACCACTGTTAATTGTTCTGTCAGTGGTCGGGAGTCTTTGGGCCCCATGATCTGCTGTCCAATGTTTTACTCCGGCTTATGAGGCACGCCGAGCCCAAATGGTTTCAGGATTCTTGCAGTCGCCTCTCATAGTTCTTCACATAAGGGCTTGCGAGCCAGAACTTAGAGCCTTCTCCTTTCGACCGTTCAATTTTGGGCTTCTTACGACACTAGCGCATGCTATAAGCTGTCAATTCCCATTATTGAGCGATGCGGGACTATGCAAATGACTTGTTACCTCAGTTAAACAAAATATGGTGGCAAGGCCTGCATCATACTTTTTAAGCTATTTTTGTCGGTCTACTTACGCATTCCCATTATAGCCCACTGGTAGAATCCCCGTTAAAATAGCCAAATTTCCCCGTGGCGGTGACTATTGAGCTTCCACAAAAAGCTAATCAGGCAACTATTCAGTAGATGGATATCGCAGAATATAAAAAGGCTAGGGTTTTCTCATGAAGCTGCATAAGGGTAAAAGGAGTTGCTCTAATAGTTTCCTTAATCTATAGGCTTATTTTATTGACCAATAGGAGTTGGTCTAATAGGTTTCCTGGTCTACTGGCTTCCTTAATTAACCAATATAAGTTGCTCTAACAGTTTTCTTGGTCTGAAGGCTTTCCTTCGGTCCTTATTGCCCTTCCTCAACCTTCTCACCTAAAACAATTAGATCAGACTTTAATTTCACCCTATTTGTGCATTTTTCACGTACCAAAAAGGCCCCTGGTTTACATCTCGCCTTTAATTCCCCTTTAACCACGATGTCCGGGAGAAAAATTGGCGGGGAACGTTTTTTCAGGCGCCCGAACAAAAAGGCCCTATCATGAAAAGTTATTACTCGAGCAACC